CATCAGAGGATTTCGATATCGGTCTTGCCTCATGGGTTTCTGTGAGAAAAGATGTACAAGTAACACGCAATACGTTTTCCATCGATGTGAGAATTCCCACGCGTCAGAATTTTGTGACATCGGAAAACTCGATACAGCACATCCTTTCCAGCGCGGTGATTCGGATATGAAACTGCGAACGTCGCTTACAGTCGGTTTAATGGCAAAGATATAAAATCTACGCGCGTTTCCCATGTTTCCTTTTTGTTTTTTATATTCAGAGCAGAATTTATCGTTGGAAAGAGTATTTCGACAGAATTTATAAAGTAAAAAACGATAATATTCTAAATCGAATCTTGTGTATAATTTCCTTTAGATAAGTGAAATAATAATAGATTAAAACTGTCAAAGATTTATGTATAATCGCAACTTTAAAATAATCTCACAAATGCAAGATTTGCAAGAAAAAAAAAATCTTAATAATTCTGTATGAGATGTCAAAAATATTTACATGTTAATGTTTTGATTTTTATCCATTTTTAAAAAGTGCATGTACGCTATTATTGAAACTTGAAAGTATCGAAGTATCTAATTCAATTCAAAATTTAATTTTGTCCTTTGTCCGCGATTCGAATTGATACTTTCACTTCTTTTGCTTACTTCAAGAATAGCTCATCATAAATCGCGGATTCGAAATCGCGTATTTCAATAGCTGCGTATATCAAAAGAGTATAATACTAATAATGTAATAATGTAGTAAGTGTAGTAGCAGTGTAGTAATTGTTTAAATTTAAATTTAAATGTGCTTCTGCAGTGACCAATTTTTTTTTTGGATGTATTCAAAATTGTTTCAGTTTTGCAAAATATTCTTATTATAATTGTTTTATTAATAAAAATAAATAATAAATAATATTTGATAAATTTATAAATCACAATAAAAAAAATCAAATAATAACTAACTATATAAATAAGAAAAGTATTAGAGAATAAGTGATGTGCTTCACTCAGATATTTTAATACCTATTATAAAAGAAACATTAAATATTTTATTTTATGCTATTCTATATTTAATTTTATTGACTTACCTGGTAATGATAAGAAGTGAATGTAATGTTTTGCATATAACAGAATTTTATTGGACGTTACACGTTAACAATAAAGGCGACGCAAATGTAATCTTTTTAATTTTACATAAATCTAGAGTTTATTACAAAATTAAACGTCTCTAATGTAACTCTTGTTCACTAAGCCGTTCGAATTTTTTAAATGCATGGTTATTATTTTAGTATGTTGTACAATGATGCGTATCAAAGAAATGGCTGAAATCTGAAAAAAAAACGTTATGACAAAAACGTGCATTTTCATTGTAAAAATATATGACTTGTGCTCATTACTTCCGTATATAACTGAGTATTTTGTAAGTTTAATGCATTTTATGTGAAGAAACTTTATCGTTAACCATACTTTTCATTTTACACATATTCTTCGATTATTTTAATGGGATCTTGCATGAGTATGTTACAAATGATTGATCGCTATGATTGTATAATTCAAGAAAATGATCGTCTGCAATTTTATATAAATGTTAAATCTATACACATATCTAAGTATTCATATTATTTGACTCTTATTACGATTGAGTGTTTTACACTTCTTGAACGCTTGGGATCGGGAGATTTGCCATACTATAATGAGTATACTTAAAGTATACAATGTTCGTTATAAACTATTCAATTCACCGAGCAACAGTTCACAGGGCGATGTTTCAAATATAAAAATTGGTGAAAAATCACTTTACACTTCTAGCGTAAGTTATTATACAGTTACGTTCATATAAGTTTACGTATACAGTTAGGTGGCTAGTTTCGAACGTGTATATATATTAGCAAACATCGGTCAGACATTTTGCGACACATAAATTAGTTCCGAAAAATGTTAATACTCTTTTTTATCCTCTTTATAAATACACGTAGAGAGAAAGAAATTTTTATATAATTTGCATTAAAGAGACCGGAATTTTTTTCCAATTTTGCGGTTTCAGAGAGAAAGTATAGAAAACATTGACTAATTTAGGCCACAATACTAATGAATTATTGTATCGAATAATTTAAATAATTACGTTAGCCGCTAAATTGCGGCATGCAATATTCTTTAATGAAGAACTCCAATATTATAATTATGAGAGCAAAACCTTTTATAAGATTGGCAGACCGATATTGGCAGTATTCTATTAATATCCACCAAATGAAATCAGATTTCATTCTTCATAAATTGCATGTTTCAGTGCCATACTGTTTGTATATTCGCAATGACATTTTAACAAAATTTTGTAAATATATTCATATTTGAATATTAAATGAATATTATATGATAATTGGATATCGACGTAAAAAAGAGATATTTTCATGTCCGCTCATTTCATTCATTTAATTTTTCCAACTTCAAAAAGTCTATGTTTTCCTGATGATACGTTCGTTTCGTTCGTTCTTCTCATATTGCTACGAAATATATTCCACATTTCAGAATTAAATTTTGTTCCTTTTAATACAACGCAAGAGCAATAAAACCGGAAAAGTATAATTCCTTCCTTATCATCTCTTTTCTAGGATGGAATCTGACACATCGTGAACACATTTTCGCATTTGTTTTAAAAAGAACGATTATATCTCATATATATTTGTTCGAAAAGATTGAAGTTATTTTCCTTTATAAATGATATATTGTAGAAACATATGATGTATAGAAATGCTGAGATTTATCGCACATGCTTTAGCTTATATTATTCTTTGATAAATTTGGAATCGATCTTTTCACAAAATTTGATAAATCATCTTTTTTGCAGTTCTCTACAGATGGTTAAAAATACGGATCATAAAATTTTGTTAAAATAATTGCATTCTTTCTTTTATTACTTTAGCGATAGTCTAATTTAAAACTCTACAAAGATCCTTTATGTAATTTTGTATAATAGCAAAAAGATATAAAAACAAGAGGTTGGCGCTCAATTAAATTTTTTTTATGCTCAAGTTGAATCAAGAAAAATCGACTTTAAATCGATCAAAGAATTCGTGAATGAATAAAAGTATTAAGATTCCCAAAGGAATCTATGGCACCCGGTCTGCATATCGATGAATAGAGCGAGTTGTGGTTTGAGAACAAAACGACGCGATTAAATCGATCGGAATATGCATGCGGTAAAAGAAAAGTAAATTGCAATGGACCGTGGAGGGATGTTGACGAATAAAAAGATACGATAAGATGTATCACCATGGAAGCGCGGAAGTCTTGTCCTATGTAATCTAACATTTACGTTACGTTACAGTGAACGGTGTAAATCACCATTAAATAGGATTTTAGACGTGATCATTTGTTTACTAATTTTACTACAGCACCATCGAACGTGCATCTAACGTACATTTTTCCGCGTAACTTACACCCTCGTAAGGTATGTAAAGTATTTGAACACAATTTTATAAACCGCCGCAAAGTTGATCTTTCCAACCAATACTCGGTGAAACGTATTATCGTAACTAATCATTCACGATTGACGAAAAATCGCTAACATTAATTAACAATTAATAAGGATACATTATTTACAAGAAAATCCTCGATGGCTTAATCACTGGACTGCGATCGCGATTAAGCGGTGACATTCGGTCTATAATCGATCTGTACAAACAACTATCGTTCTTGTAACTTACAAATTTACAAACACATGTAGGAAGATATCTGGGAGTAATATATGTTAACAGAATTATATATTCTAGCGCCGCTTATCAATAATTATATGTATAATAATAATACGGAACGGATAGATGGGATTTATATTTGGCTGCGATATGTTTCACTTTTTATTTTCTCTTAATTTAATATTTAACAAGATTTTTTTACCTATCGCCACGGTTCATGCGTTACTTCGATAATTTGATCCCAGAACACATGTCGATAGCTTATATAAATATACATTATTAATGTTCTTGTATAAAGGTATTTATAAATTTACAAATGTCGAAAAAACTTTTTTTAAAATTTTACCACGTGTCCTATTATATTCGTACATTAGTGTATTCAGTGCAAGCAAATGAGAATGAAATTTATCGATCTTTCCCTTAAACATTCAAACCAAAGTTCTAATCCCATCTGAAAGGTTAAATTGGTTTAATTTGTAATGTAGATAATGGTATATGAAATGATATAGAATATTGGAAGCAGCATATAACATATAAAGAAAGTAGATTAAGTATACATTTATACAGACGATCTCGTATATTTTTTACGAGCAATCGGACATTACATAAACGTATTTGTAAATATGCGAGTGTGCATGTCGATTACCATGTAATGAAGGATTTGCAACTTTTTCGATAAATACCATCACGCTCATTTTAATAATGCAAAAATACATAATAATGCCACATATTTCACAAATAGTAAAAACGGATTTTGAATTACGATAAATAATAATAAAATATGAGAATTTGTTTTATGTAATTCTTTCAACAAAATTTATGAGCAATTTAGCAATTTATGATGTCATTTTTAGAAATAATCGCCATATTTAAATCTTTCAAATTTTTCAAATAAAAGCATTCAGATTGAATAATTAATTTTCAGAAGGAAAAAAAAAATTTGTTGATACTTGCGCCAATTATGTCTGCTCGAATAAACGCATTACGCGGCGCAGAATTATAATAATCACTCATTAAATTCGTTTATCGAGAATCGCAATTTTAGAAATTTATTATGGCAACGTGTGTCTCATCGAAATCGAATTTAACAAGTTTCAAATGAATTATCTATTGAGATATATCTCGCTAAGTGTAATATCTTATCATTGCATCTCCCCGAGGCTTAAAGTAAGCTGGATCGCTATCAAATGAAACGTAAACGGGAAAGGATTAAAGCAGTTCCTCATTATCGTCCGAAACACCATACATCTGCGGCCTCCTTTCTAAAGATCGTTGCTGCTGCAGAGCCTGTTGTTGTTGCTGCTTTTGGAGAAGCGCGATACTGGCAGCTTTATAGTTAATCGGCCCGTACGACTTGTAGTCCACATCCGCATAATCGAGATCCGAAAATTCTGGCTTGAAGGGCTGCATAGATAAAAAAGCGTGACGAATATCACGGAACGAGAATGGCTTATTTTCCAAACAATACAAATGTCTAAAAGATCTTCAGGCTTTTAAGCGCTTTTCAAATATCTCCGATTCCTCAATTTTATAGCGAAATTGCAAAATCCAAAATCAAGTGAATTTTATTTAAAAACAATTTTAGTTGCTGTATATTAATTTATATTTCATTGTTGCGATATTCAACTAGAGAGTTTATTTATATTTATATTTTTAATAAATAAAATTTTAAAAATAAAATAAATAAAGTAAAATACTTTTAATAAGTATAAAACGGATCATTTTTTAATTAAGTGATTCTTAAATAATTCTGTAAAAAACTTTTGTAACGTCTTGATAAAGTAAAGATTTAAGACGTCCTTTAAACTTTTGTATTGTTCGGGCTCTAATCGTGCTGCGCGGACGATTGCGCACATAAGAGTTTTACAGTGGACTGCTCGTGAAGTTTTGTAACAGAACTGCTGTGAAAGCGATCGACGAATGACTGGTGCCATTTCGGGTGCTAAGTTTTCTCGTTCGTGATCGATGTCTGTCAATTAGACAACGACGCGCCTAGGGTGAGTACACGATTTAAGAGATCTTATTGAAGGATTCAAAGAATTATGAGCGAACTATTCATTGTTAAATCATCTGACAGATAATCCTCTTGTTCTCTAGTTTGTCTTATTGTTAAGTATTAAGTATAATCGTGATAAGTATTAT